ATTGGAGACCTTACTTATCAATCATCCGTTACAATTTTATAAAGAAATAAATGTACTTGATATTGATACCGGTTTCATTATTTTCTAAGTATAAATAAGCTATAAGTATTCACTACTATTTCTCTAGTAGTTTAGTCTTCAATGTCAAAACTAATGGTATCTACCAATTTGCCCACGTCCCAACTGGATGTGACAGATGGTCGAAGTTTAAAGTGGGCCTATCGGCCGCACCGCCCCCAAAAATTCTCTATCCTCCTCGGCACTTCTCCTTTTGGGGATGCCCAGGCGCCAGGAAATAAACTTAGCCCCCTCTCGAGGGAAATGTACTGTCTGGTGGGGGAGCCCCCTGGAGCTTGGGCTTACGAATCCCAACCAAGGTCAGGACTGGTTCTGCCACCAGCTGTATCGACTGTTATTAATATGCCGTAGATTTGTATATGAATAAAACATTATGAATATATTTATTAAAATGGATTCTGATGATTTTTTTTTAAATACAAAATGAATAATAAAAATCATTGTACATTAATGTTGATATTTTTTATACGAGACCCACGAAGATTTGTTTCATTGCTTAGTGTTTGAGTAAAAGAAGTTCTTCAATGTATTATACAAAAGAAAACTAAATACAAAGAAAGTTAATTGATTTTTTGTTGTAGTTGGGGTGGTGGTCTCTAAGTTACTTATTATAAAACGCAGATTGTGTGTGTGTGTGTGTGTGTGTGTCTGTACGTTTATATATTGGATCAGATTTCCTACATTTTTTTCAACTGATTTCAACAAAACTTCACAGGACTACGTAAAATTACCTTGCGGGTGGTTCTGACAGTGCCAAAAATTGGAAAAACAATTGTTTTTGCATGAAATCAATTTGAAAACACGATAAAACACGATTCTGTCGCCATAATAAAAGGGGACAACTCATATCGAGTTATACTTATTATAAAACCCAGGTTGGGTTGTGTGTGTGTGTGTGTGTGTGTGTGTGTGTGTGTGTGTGTGTGTGTGTTCGTTTTATATATGGATCGGATTTCCTACATTTTTCAACCGATTTCAACAAAACTTCACTTTTATTTTGAATGTAGTGTTTTTATTGCCTTGTACACTTTTTTTTTTTTTTTTTTTTACATTCAGAATGCTTTAAAAATTCGATTTACAAGACAATTGTTTTTAATAAAATTCTATTCAATCGGTAGAGACTCATAACGATTGAAAACAATGTTTTTGTTTGAGTTTGGGTTTGACCAATTCCTAAAAAAAACAAAAAACAAAACAAAACAAAAAAAAAACTAATTAAGACATGCGTGTCCGTCAACCTTAAACAATAATCTTTGTCAATTTTATTTTTCAGTCTTTATGATGGTCGATACTTGATCTATTTCTTACTGTTACATCCCCAGGCAACGCCGGGCGCTACTCCTAGTAATAAATAAACCTAACGAACAATGATTGTAAACAAGTTTAAAAAAAGAAATCTGTATTTATTAAAAGAGCGAAGATTCTGTAGCGCATGATTTGGGGTACATCTGCTAACGATTAATTAAATGAAAAGCAGTAGAATTCATGTCACTACTTCCTTGTTTCAAAACAACATTCACCTAAAAAGAAAAAACAATAAAATTCGTAACGATTTCAATTGAAGAAATAGCAAATTCAGTTGTTGACGTAGCTTTTAAAAGTTCACCTTAATTCAATATAGGATCAAAAGGAAAGTAAAAAAAAAGACAATGTGTTGCGCCAATTTTTCATGCGAAACAGCCTTGAAAACTTGCGCATAAATTCGTGTCTTTCCCTAAATTTAAACAGTCGACACTTGCTGGAAAGTACAACGGGTGAAACATTGCAAGAATAACAAACTAAATGAGTATAGGTTCGACCAAATATTATGTCAAATATATGAAACAGCAAAATTGTCCAAATCGTGTAACAGCAAAATTGTCCAAATCGTGTAAAAGCAAAATTGTCCATTTGTTAGATTAAGCTTTGAACTGTTCAAATGATTAAAGTTAATCTTACTGGAATTCACCGAGGTTTTTATAACACTATTGAACTCTACTCTGAGCAATAAGAATGTATAATTACTTTCTAAGCTTTACAGAAGAATCGTGATGAAATCGATCATAAACGAAAATGACATGTTCATCATTAATTAATCATAGCTAAGGATCGGAAGCACATGAAGGATTGAAATAAAGTTCAAATATATATATATAATATTTCAGGATCATTTCCCAAATTATTCCAGATGTTCTTCGCCCACTCTAACTTTCTAACTTTCCATCCTGGATTTCACGAACGATCTCATTTTCAAGTCTTTTTCACTGTCATGAGTGAAACTCTTTTCTCGCGTGCCAAACTTCTTAGGGATTGAGTTGGATCATTTCTAATTGATCTCTTTTTAAGTTGAAATGATGATCCCTTTTCCTGTTGTGACCTCCTGATCCAATTTCCTCTCTACTGTTCGCTCTTTTTTAAACTTTACACCATTCTCTTGATGGTTCTTGAATTAACTTTGAAGATGGAAGCCAGAGTATGAATGTTGGTACTGAAGGCCTGAATGATCTTTTTCCTCTCACCATTACTCATTTGTGAAGACATAGTGGCTGACACAATACAACTTTCTGTTCTCTTTCTAACTTAATAACTCAAATGGTTTTTCGGTGATTCTTACAACAAATGGTGTCAAGATGGCTAAAAGTCTTATCTGAAAACCTGGGGAAAGAAAAGAAACTCAATTAGTTTAGTGGTTTTTAGATATTAAACATTTCTGTGAATGGACAGTTTTGTTGTTACAACCAGTATATATATATATATATATATATATATATATATATATATATATATATATATATATATATATATATAAAGCATGTCTGATCGAATGACGGTGTCCCTGCCAATGGGGATGCTGGTTTGAATCTTGCCTGAGAGCGCATATTTAACTTTAATAAGATTTCTTGAATATTCAGGACAGTAGACAAAAATGCTGATATACAAAAATACACTGATACATAAATAAACGGAGGGTCTGCTCAAATATGGTTATCCACTAAAAATAATGTTTAAGTAATATATATATATATATATATATATATATATATATATACGTTGATGTGAGTTTCTGACCCTGAGTTTCACGCCCTTTGCAATCGTCAGAAAAACTGATTGATTTTGAATCCATTTATGATTGTGAAATACACGATCATGAATAGATTCAAAATTAGTCAGTTTGTCTGACGATCGCAAAGGGCATAAAACCCAGGGTCACAAACTCACATCAACATAAATAAATATATTAGCTCTATCACTGACATTGAGCACGTTCCAATAAGTACCACGCTTATATAATATATAAATAATATATATCGGAATTGTATATATATATAATATATATATATATATATATATATATATGAAGAAATATACTCTTAAGGTGTGCTATATTTGTGGGATAAAATTGCTTAATATCAGAGATAGAGCGTATGTAAATATAAAAAGTGAACATTAAAATCAACACTTAGGCAACAGTCTGTTTCATGCTAGACGTTAGGCCACAATTGCGTCTAGTATGAAACAGCCTGTCGCCTCTAAGTGTTGACTTCAATGTTCATTTTTATATATATATATATATATATATATATATATATATATATATATATATATATATATAGAAAGCCTGCCAGTTGGCCAAGAGAAAACTCAAATCGAAAACGAAAAAGATATAAATTATGTGTCGCCTCATGTACAGAAACCGTTCGGCGAATTTACAAACTTTGAAGAAGCTATTGGCATTCGAAAGAGAGCTTTCGTCCAAGAAAAAAGTGAAATATACGCCAGGCATTTACTTACATCCAGAACTCATCAAGCTGAAGATGTTTTTGGATCAATATCTTCATGCATTGCACGTCCTGTCGAAGGACTGTAAATTCAAGGATGTTACCGCTCAAGTGGAAACTGTTAGAAATGACTGAGTTATCTGCATCTCCTATTCAGCAGAGACCTCTTGCAAACAGAACGCTCCTCCTCACAGGAGTTGGAAACCAAACGCGAAATATCGGAAGGGCTATCCTAAATTCAGAAGCCTATTCTGCTGTGTTATATAGGAATAAAGTGTCACTGCCGACACTTGAGTTTGAACATAGATCGCCAGTGAGCAAACATAGGCGATCCCATTATTGAATTAAGTAGACCACGTGACCATAGAGGAAACGCATATATTTAGGGAGTAGCTGACGACTAACGATCGGCATTTCTATTCTATCTTCTATTACAATTCAGATCTCCATTTCTAGTCTATCCTCTATTACTATTCGGATCACCATTTCTACTCTACCCTCTATACGGACCGCTATTCTCTACTCTATCCTCTACTACTATACAGATCTTCATTTCTAGTCTATCCTCTATTACTATTTCTATTCTATCCTATATAGGAACCGCTATTCTCTATTCTATTCACTATACTATTCTCTATTCGGATCACGACACGGATTACTATTCGAGCGAGTATTATCGAGCAAGTATCAGTTAGTACGAGTGTTATTTGAAGGCGTCTGACACTTGTATTGTTCAACGGCGTTACTATAAGTTGTATCTGCGATTACAAAGTCTCTACTACAACGAGCATTACGAAAGTGTCAACGAGTGTTCGTTGACATCACAAAGTGCTGATACCCAAACAAGTTATCAAGCGGTGTCATCGTTCTTGTACAGGGGAAATAAGCAAGCTAGGGGAAAAGACCAAAAGGTTAAAGATGATTTAATAGAGAGCAATTTCAGTTTAGAAGAGTTAAAATTAACAAGTCACTTCTTGCCCCAGTTAACAACTGATTGTCGGTCATTATCGAGATCAGCTGCCAGTTTGATTTCATCAAACCTATTAGAGTTACTATTTAAGACAAGAAATAAATAGTAGCTTACTTTCTTTCTTTCTTTTTTTTCACTCTTTTTTATATGCACTCCCACTTTTCTCTTTCTCTCCTTTTCTCCTTATTTCTCCTATGAACTCTCATTTTTCCCCCTCTCGTTTTTCTTATACGCATTACGACTCTTTTCTTTCTATTTCACACACACACACACACACACACACACACACACACACACACACACACACACACACACTCTCTCTCTCTCTCCTATTTCCCTTTTCTTTTTTCTCATATGCGCTCTCATTCTTTCTCCTTATATGCATTTCTCTCTCTTTCCCTTTCTTTTACAATCTCTTTTCTCGTGTGTAGCCTCACTTTCTCTCTCTCTCTCTTCTCTTTCCCTTTCTCTTTCCACGTATGCGCTCTCTCTTTCTTTTCTCTTCCTCCTCTCTTTACTCCTTTAAACCTGGCTGGTTGTGCGGAAGTAGTCTGGACAATGCCCGAGGGTTTTGTCCGTGTTTATTGTAGACGGCTGAGCAGTGTTTGATGTTATTCCAGCGTCGACTGTTTGTTGCACTGGTGTAGGGGTCTCAGGTATTGCACTAGGTCTTGGAACTGGAATTGTTGGTGTATCCAGTTTCCTGAGAAATCGGCGATTTCGTAAGGTAATTCTACCTGATCCGTCAACTCTGATACGGTATTGGTGGTTGGGGAGGGTTTCAATGACCTGACCTGTTGTGTCCCATCGACGGGTTGTTGGTCTTTGTAGTGCCACTATTTGTCCTTTTTTGAAGGGGTTTAAAGTGTGTGCTGTTCTGTTGTATCGCTCTATGAGATGAGCGTTCCGCCGGGACAGACTTATCTCACGATTTTGTGCTGCGGTTATCCAATTCGCGTGTGGCTTATAGAGTGTTGGGTGGGATGGTATGTAGTCACGTAGTCGGCGGTGGAGTAGTAGTTGAGCAGGGGATAGCCCAATGTTTTGAATGGGCGTATTCCTGTATTGGAGGATGGCTCTTGCTGCACGGTTATTATCCAATGATCCTTGGGCCCTGTGTTGCCATTGACGATTCTCTTGGCTGTTTTGACAGCGAGCTCTGCTCGACCATTGGATTGTGGGTAACCAGCAGATGATAACCTTTGTTTAACAGCCCAGTCTTGCAAAAATTGCTTGAATGGAAGAGATGTGAAGGTGGTCCACCATCACTGCTGAGTTCCTCAGGAGCGCCGTAGGTCTGAAATATGTCCGGCAAATCGAAATAATCCTTGAGGCATTAGCCTCCGTGGCTCAAGTGGTATAGATTCAGCCAGCCCGTTAACCTGTCAGCGCATGCTAAGTAACCATGGTTTCCAACATGAAAGATGTCCATGACGATTTGCTGAAATGGCCAATCAGGAGATGGTGTCAAATTGATTGGCTCTTTTGGTTGACTCCGGGGCAATTTTTGAGCAGAACGTACAACCTGCTCTAATCAAAACATGAATTGAAGCATTCATCCCAGGCCAATAAACAGATTCATTGGCACGTGCCTTCATGCCAACTTCGCCCTTGATGTGCAGAATGTAGGCTATGTAATATTTTTGCGCGTTGTGAGGTGGGGATAACAATTCTTTTGATCTAAGAGCACTAACCCGTCGTCAACACTTAGGCGGTGCCTCACTTCCCAATATTCGCGGATTTCAGGTGCAGTGAGGATGCGCGTTCTTGGGAATCCGTTTTGTATTATTTCAATTAATTTTTGTATTGTGGGTCGCTGCGTCCCGCCGTACGGATAACGTCTGGGTGAGATGAGTCCAGGTTGTCATTTGCACCGAATGTTGCTAATAAGGTTTTTGATTCGGACCCAGTCATCCATGTTGTCAGACTCTATGATGTCTGATTGAGAGGGTTCAGCAGTGAATACATTTAGGAGTGCCTGAGATGTCTGCTGGGTTACGAGAGACAGCATCGGAGGCTCTGTGCCATTTCCCCAGGCAGTGCTGAATGGTGAATCTGTACCTGAGGGTTTTCTCCTTTAACCTGAATAATCGGGGTTTGGATTTTACTAAGGTCTCATCTCCGAATAATCCTTTTAGTGGTTCATGATCTGTAACCACTATGAGATTCAGGCAACCATTACAAAAATCCGACATTTTTCCAATGCCCATGCAATTGCTGCTGCTTCGCCTTCAATAGGTGCATATCTGCGTTCAGCATCAATGCAGAATCTGCTACCAGCAAATATCAGGCGCCAACCTTCAGGGCAGCAAACTGGGGCTTTGTCAGTGGTGTATGAGCAATACTTCTGCAGAAGTAGGAAGCCCATTCTGTCTTTGCTCCAATCTGGGGCAAAGGCAGGTTATTCTTTCTTTTTGAAATGTTGCGATGCCTTTTCGGACAAGTCAACTATGACCTTCTTTGACTGCTGGAATGCATCCTCCAGGCTTTATTCCATGTAAAGCGTGAGTCCTCGTTTTACGAGATCACGAAATGGAAGCATGACTGGGCTTAGTGAATATGTTTAAGCAACTTGGTTGACCAGCCCAAACCATGATCTGGCATCGGTGAGTGTTTTGGTATTGGGAAGCTCAATATTGCCTCCAGCATGGATTTAGAAGGGGTTACACCAGAAGATGTTATTTGAGGCCCCCAAACTGCACCGTGTCTTGGCAAAATTGGAATTTTTCTATTTATTACGATGCCGTTTTTTGCACAATGGAGGAGAAAATCGAAGGTGTGAAAAAAAAGGCTCCTTCGATGTCAGGGAGTCATAGAGTAGGGGTGTCATCCACGATTTTTTACTTTGTGGGGGATGTCTTTTATTACTTCATCATACCTTCGGGTGTAGGCATCACCAGATGCTAGGTAACCTTGTGGCATTCTCAGGTACATGAACCTTCCCCATTCTGTGATGAAGGTGGTGAGTGGCTGGGACTCTTTATCTAAGGGGATGGAATGATATCCATCAACAGCATCCAACACTGTTTTTTTTGTTTAGTGGCACTTGTAGTGCTAGCATGGAATGGTGACCCTGTATGGTGTGTTTCCTGTTTGCACTGTGAATTCAGGTGTTGGTAGTCTATGGTTCTTCGTGGTTTGCCATTTTTTTTGCGGTAATTACCATAGTGCTACACCAATCAGCGGGCATGCCAACGGGTACTGGGGTTATGATACCCCTTTTCACATCTTCCCAAAGGGCCTGTTTTACGGGCTCTTTGAAGTGAAAAGGCACAGGAATTGGGTTATGTCTGGCTTTGGGGACTGCTCCTTCTTTGAGGTGTATATGTGCAGTGGGGCCAGACATCGGTGGGAATTCACCATTGTTCTTGAACGCCGTTTCGGCAAATTGGTTCAATAGCCAATTCTTGAGCCTATCAATGTTTTGTTCTGTTGAAGAAAAGGGAGTTTTGGGGCGTGTTGGAAGTTGTCCTCGACTTTGAATTGTTTAGGCTCACGTCCGATTTTTTATGTGTGCTTGTCGAGGGCATGTTGCATTGTTGTTTGGGGTAATATTGTAGTTGTTGGCTTCGGAAGTCTTTGGACAGTATCCCTACATCAATGCAGGCTGCTTTGCTGAAGTATAGCCGCTGAATCTTTTTGCATATGTATAGGGCTTGTTTAGTTGTTCTTCCTTGGACGATGAATTCCACGGGGAGCCAAACCCTGACATACAAGCGTAAAGCCTCCCACAGCTCGGACGACTTTTCTTGATGGAATGAGGTTGTCGATAGTGAGCCCCCATATTCCGAAGGTGCTTAAGTCCCCGAGACATATGGTGGCCCCACTGTCAGGAAAGATTGTCATCCTAGTGCTGTGATTTCTGGGATATTCTTAATTTGTCTGGGATCCGGTTTTAATGAAAATGGAACAACATATGCATCAATTTCCCTTATCTGGCCCGTGTCTTAGACGTATACGTGCCTGTCGTTTGATTGAATGTGATGTGGGCGATAAGTGTGTCCATTATGGCTTCATTAGCCTCTAGGCTTTTTCCTGACCGCTTGAGCTGGTTTCTTAGCCCGGCATACCCTCGATAGGTGATTGGGCTTCCCCACAATTACTACATGTTTGTCCCCATGCTGGGCATTTTAGCCGGCGTGATTCAGTTCCTGAGGTGCCATGCTGGTGGCTGCCAACAACCCTAAAGCAAGCCTGGTGGTTTGGTTTTAACATTGCAGTTGCAATAGGTGCTGGTACGGATCGCCTCGTTGGCTTGTGGTGTACCTTTCTGTCTGCGGTATGTTGATAGCCGAGCAGCAGCTGTATTCGGAAGCACTGGCCATTGAGGTTTGGTCCCGCAATGTTGATTCAAATGCCTCAGCATGACGGATATTTTGTTCAAGGGATTTAAGTGCCCCAGCTTTTGGCCAGTAGGTCAGCCTGGAGTGTATCATTTGCTATTCCACGGATGATCTGGTCCTTGATGTATATATCAGACAGGTCATGTCTGGCTATCGAGGGGCAGGTAAGTTACAATCAACGGCTACGGCTCTGAGGGGACAAGGTAACTTTGTATTGGCTCATCAGCATCCTGGAGACATGAGGCAAAAGCAAGGCGATGGACAATAGGACTTGACCTCTGGGTGACCAACTTCTACCATGTCCGGTAGATTATCTGGATCAGTGGTAAGAAGTCAGGGTGTGTGTTGATTATGGCATTTTGCACAGCCTCATCAGCACAATTGTATAGGTGAATATTAGCTTGGGAGTTTGGCATATTTGTCATCTTTGGTAAAGACATCCCAGTCAATTCGGAACTTCCTAAATTGCTGTGGTGTCATCTCTCGAGATTGAGATGAGGAGGCTTGGCTGCTAGTGCCTGAATGCGGGTTGTCTGGGTGGTGGATCTTAGCCTGTTTAATGATACACAGGGCTTCTCCCATTAATGTGACTCCAGCCTTAAGCATAGATCGATCCAGCATTTGAAGGCTCTCGATTGTCAGCTTCTCGTCCGCAAACCTTGTTGCATGAGTTTTGGCCGAGTCGGTGGATATGCCTGCTTCAATGAAGAAGAGTTCCAATTTTCAGGTGTCATAAATCCTGTTCGCAGCGCCATGTCAAATAATCACGTGGTGAATAAACACTCAGTTGTGGAGCAAGCTGAGTAAAGAATAATTCAACATTGAGACAGAGAGCTATTTATGGTGCAATGGAACATCTCATTATGCTAAAGTGGATAGTCCATATTGCTGTGATTATTGCTGGTACCTGAGTGGAAGATATTACTATATAAATATTTAGCATGATTTCTCAGTTTGCAGGATGTATTAAGTTACAACCTGCTTTATTTTTCTGCCAGCTGGACGCTAGTTGGGACTCTTACGCCGGTAAGTGCTTTTTTATTATTATTCTACAATATACGTTTTCTCTTTCTTTTTACAATCTCTTTTCTCGTGTGTACCCTCACTTTCTCTCTCTCTCTTTCCCCTTTCTCTTTCCACGTATGCACTCTCACTCTTTCTTTCTCTCTTCCCCCTCTCTTTACTCATATGCGTTTTCTCTTTCTTTTTACAATCTCTTTTCTCGTGTGTACCCTCACTCTCTCTCTCTTCTCTCTCTTCCTTTCCTTTCCACGTATTACTCCCTCACTCTTTTTTTCTCTTCCTCCTCTTTTACTCATATCGTTTTCTCTTTTCTTTTAAATCTCTTTTCTGTGTGTACCTCACTTTCTCTCTCTTTCCCCTTTCTCTTTCCACGTATGCACTCTCACTCTTTCTTTCTCTCTTCCTCCTCTCTTTACTCATATGCGTTTTCTCTTTCTTTTTACAATCTCTTTTCTCGTGTGTAATCTCTCTTTCCCCTTTCTTTTCACGTATGCACTCTCACTCTTTCTTTTCTTCCCTCTCTCTTCCCCTTTATACATTTTCTTTTTTTTTTTTACAATCTTTCTCGTATACTACCCTCACTTTCTCTCTCTCTCTCTCTCTTTCCCCTTTCTCTTTCCACGTATGCACTCTCCTCTTTTTTCTTTTCCTCTCTTTTACTCATATGCACTTTTCTTTTCTTTTTCTTTCTTTTCTCGTGTGTACCCACTTTCTTTCTCTCTCTCTTCCCTTTCTCTTTCCACGTATGCACTCTCCTTTCTTTTCTCTCTTCCTTTCTTACTCATATCGTTTTTCTTTCTTTTTACAATCTCTTTTCTCGTGTGTACCCTCTTTCTCTTTCTCTCTTCCCTTTCTCTTTCCACGTATGCACTCTCACTCTTTCTTTCTCTCTTCCCCCTCTCTATACCCATATGCGTTTTCTCTTTCTTTTTACAATCTCTTCTCTTGTATGTACCCTAACTTTTTCTTTCTTTTCTGTCTTTTTCTTATATGAACTCTCACTTTTTCTCCTTATATGCATTTTCTTTCTCTTTCTCTTTCTTTTTACAATCTCTTATCTCGTATGTACCTCACTTTCTCCCTCTTTCTCTTTTCCCATATGCACTCTCACTCTTTCTTTCATTCGTCCCCCTCTCTTTACTTATACGCATTTTTCTTTCTTTCACTGTATCTTTTCTCATATGCACTCTCTTCCTCTCTCTTTCCCTAAACATTTTATGCACTCTTACTCTTTCTGTTTACTATCTCTTTTCTCTTATCTACTCTCACTCTTTCCCTCTCTTTTTCTCTTTCTCTTTTCTCATATGCACTCTCACTCACTCTCTCTCTCTCTCTCTCTCTCTGTGTCTCGTTCCCCCTCTCTTTTTTTCTTATATGCATTCACTCTTTTTTTTCTCTGTCGATTTTATCACATGCAATCCAAACCTTTTTCTCCCTTTTCCTCTCTCACTTTTCTTATATACACTTTTCTCTTTTTCTCTGTCTTATCATATGCACTCTCATTTTCCCCTCTCTTTTCTCATATATACACTCACTTTTTCTCTTTCTCTCTCTCTTTCTCTCTCTTCCCCTGTCTCATTTTTCATATGCACTCTCTCTCTCTTTCTGTTCTAGTTTCCCCCCCTTTCCTCCCTCTCTCTCTCTCTCTCCCTCTCTCTCTCTCTCTCTCTCCCTTTCCTCTCCTATTTTTAAACAACAACCCCTCCTTTATTTTCCACCATCTTTGTTTTTATTCTTGCTAACATATTTCATTCACACCAGCCATTCTGTGCTTTTTTTTATTTCTTTATTTAGACATCTGCTTTCTTCGGCCTCTTTTTTTTTTTAAATCTTTCTACGTTCTTGCGTTGCATTTAAGTTTCCCAGACTGCTTCACTCATAGGAGAAGAGTCTCTTCTTCAAAAACATTTCTGTTAAGTCAAACCATCTGTCAAATGTAGGCAAACATTTTCTTCGTATCTTCTGGAAGAACTTAAATCACTTGAGGTCCAGTCAAAAAAAAAAAAAAAAAAAAAAACAAGATGTCGGAAGGCTTAATCTGCTTCATTTCTGTCTAAACTGTGGTTATCTACCTAAAGAATAAACCAAAGAAACTCAGGAAATAAAAACCTGATGAGTAAAGAAAAGTAATTCCTTAAAATATTTACAAAGAGGCGAAGCAAGTATTATCTTTTTAAAGAAAATTGATTTGATGGAAAATTAATGTTTGAATTTTTTGCAAGTGTTCACTCTGTACAAGGCCTGAGAACAACTCAATGTAGAAGGATGTAGATTAAAGTAACAGTTTATGGGGATATATGGGGAAGATAACAGTTCATTCTAGACTTGAACAGGTTAAGATTGTAGTGATCTGGGAAACGTCCACTTGGGACTCTGTCCCACAGAGCAGTGGTTCACGGGAAAAAGCTGTCTGAGTGGAATTTACTTCTCGCCGACAGAATACGAAAGGAATGTGGTTGGTTTGCTTCTGTGGCATGAATAAAGAATAATCAGCTATAAGTATTCACTCCTATTTCTCTAGTAGTTTAGTCTTCAATGTCAAAACTAGTTGTATCTACTGGTTTTCCCACGGCGCAAATGGATGTGACAGATGGTCGAAGTTTAAAGTGGGTCTATAGGCCGCACCGGACAAAAATTCTCAATCCCTATCGGCATTTCCCCTTTTGGGGACGCTCCAGGCAACCGACAATAAACTTGGCCCCATCCCGAGGAAGATGTACTGCCTGGTGAGCGAGCTCTCTGGAGCTTAGGCTTACGAATCCCAACCAAGGTCAGGTCTGGCTCCGCCAGGCAATAAACTTAGCCCCATCCCGAGGGAGATGTACTGCCTCCTGAGAGAGCCTCCTGGAGCTTGTGCTTACGAATGCCAACCAAGGTCAGGACTGGTTCCGCCAGGCGTCAGGCAATAAACTTATCCCCATCCCGAGAGAGATGTATTGCCTAGTGAGAGAGAGCCCACTGGAGCTAGCTACGAATCCCAACCAAGGTCAGGACTGGTTCCTGCCAGGCGTCAGGCAACAAACTTATCCCCATCCTGAGAGAGATGTATTGCCTGGTGAGAGAGCCCCTGAGCTTGTGCTTACGAATCCCAAACCAAGGTCAGGACTGGTTCCGCCAGGCGTCAGGCAATAAACTTATCCCCATCCCGATAGAGATGTATTGCCTGGTGAGAGAGCCCCTGAGCTTGTGCCAGAATCCCAACCAAGGTCAGGACTGGTTCCGCCAGGCGTCAGGCAATAAACTTATCCCCATCCCTGAGAGAGATGTATTGCCCAGTGAGAGAGCCCACTGGAGCTTGTGCTTGAATCCCAACCAAGGTCGGGACTGGTTCCGCCAGGCGTCAGGCAACAAACTTATCCCCATCCTGGAGAGAGATGTATTGCCTAGTGAGAGAGCCCCTGAGCCAGCTTACATGAACCCCAACCAAGGTCAGGACGGGTTCCGCCAGGCGTCAGGCAATAAACTTATCCCCATCCGAGAGAGATGTATTGCCTGGTGAGAGAGCCCCTGAGCTTGTGCTTACGAATCCCAACCAAGGTCAGGACTGGTTCCGCCAGGCGTCAGGCAATAAACTTATCCCCATCCCGAGAGAGATGTATTGCCTAGTGAGAGAGCCCCCTGGAGCTTGTGCTTACGAATCCCAACCAAGGTCAGGACGGGTTCCGCCAGGCGTCAGGCAATAAACTTATCCCCATCCCGAGAGAGATGTATTGCCTGGTGAGAGAGCCCACTGGAGCTTGTGCTTACGAATCCCAACCAAGGTCAGGACTGGTTCCGCCAGGCGTCAGGCAATAAACTTATCCCCATCCCGAGAGAGATGTATTGCCTAGTGAGAGAGCCCCCTGGAGCTTGTGCTTACGAATCCCAACCAAGGTCAGGACTGGTTCCGCCAGGCAATAAATTTATCCCCATCCCGAGAGAGATGTATTGCCTGGTGAGAGAGCCCCCTGGAGCTTGTGCTTACGAATCCCAACCAAGGTCAGGACGGGTTCCGCCAGGCGTCAGGCAATAAACTTAGGCCCCTCTCGAGGGAGATGTACTGCCTGGTGGGGTGAGTCCCCTGGAGCTTGGGCTTATGAATCCTAACCAAGGTCGTGACACTTAAACCTAGTGGAACCAAGTTCAACCGAGCACTTTCCATGGAAATAGCGATAGAGCAGTGAGGGGCTTGCCACATCCCATCTGTGTGTGAGAGAGAGAGAGGTTGGAAAATAATTAATCACCCACAAGGACGCGGAGAGGCTTTTGGGCTCTGTCGAGACTGGAAAACGAGGACTGGGCAGATCCTGCCCAAATATGACAACAGGATTCTATTTTCAGCCTGATCTGGCCCTTGTAAAGGTAGATGATAGCGTGAGGAGTCAGGTAGCGATACAGGAAACTGACCATGAGTGTGAGTTTGAGGCCCAATATTCTCTCAAGGCTTCCTCGAGGGGGGGGGTCCGTTCATCGTGACTAGCGGTAGTTAAAATAATGGCGGCGTCAATGGAAAAACCGTCGTTATGACCCTCCGTTTTTTTTTTTGTTTTTTTTTTAGGCACGAAGTTTCCCGGGTATTTTTACGGGTGATTTCTGTCATCCGGAATTTTCTGGGTCTGGTTCCAACGATGCCAGATTAGAGAAGTCGGACTGTAGTAGTTTGAACAAAAATCAACATCCTCTACCAAGTGTCCCAAGAAATTAAACTTACGAAAAACCTCTACAAAACAGAAATTATCGTCTGGCTAGGAAAGCAGTGATGACACCTACACCCGAATCCATCCAAGAAATTTAGAATGCGAGATTAATGAACACTAAATCCTTCAAATACCTCGGTGTATGGATCACTTAGCCCCCTCTCGAGGGAGATGTCCCGTGGAGCTTGTTCTTACGAATCCTAACCAAGGTGGTGAAACTTAAACCTAGTGGAACCAAGTTCAACCGAGCACTTTCGTAAGTTTGTATAGAAGATAAGGAAACTGAATATAGAATAGGCTGGGTTGGAGATAATTTCACACAACACCACAAGCTGCTACAAAAATAAAACTGTAACCTAAGTTAGTTAAGTGCCATACATGATACACGCTTGGACGATCATGTCTCATTGTAGGCAGAAGAGTTTCCCGCAGTAGGTTGTCATTTCTTTCTCTGATAGGCTGGTTGCCAACCAAGGTGTAGTTAGAGAATACACCCCGGTCAAAGCGGACATGGCGTGTAAATCCAACATGGCCGACGTTGCGTGGAAGCGACAATATCACTCGTAGTCGCGAGAAGCGACCATTTGCAATCGCCTCGATACGCAAGTGTGACGCTATTTTTTAATACGATCGGTGCATTTTGAAGGGCGACTGTTGGACAATGCGTTTGAATTCTAACGGTTTATGTGCATGAGGAGGAATTTTTGACATTGGACCTATATTTTCCTTCTGGATTTTACTATTTGTTTTAAACTTAAGCCATCATATTAACTTTATAACACAAGGCTATCCTGGCTCCTATAGTAGCCTTGTGTTATAAAGTTATTCAGCTCGCAGCTGGGGTGAAAAAGGGATGAATTCATTCCTTTACCGAAGGTATTTTTGTGAAGAAAAGTACAGGAAATATGGTTCAAATTTATGACTTTCTTAAATCAATCATTAGGCACGGCAGAGACAACGGGGGGAATTTCATAGAAGTAATGAGAGTTGTGACGTAGCCAAAGAGTCTTGTAACGTCAGCGAAGTGTGACGTGATGTTTTAATATTTTTTTATATACAATTGAGGATCCGGGTTTATAATTGTTATAATTGGGTTTTTTTATTTAGAAAAATCGATCATTAAAACTAATAGGCATAAAATGTCTGTATTTTTTAATAATATTTGACTTAAAGAAGATTTACTGCCTAAATAAACAGAATAAAGAGATTCGACACAGAATACATTCACACACACGCGCGCGCGCGCAACGTACAAACACATCCGCATATGCATATGCGCGCGCGCACACACACACACAGACACACACACGAAAAAGAA